TGGGACTCAGGCAGCTTTTGGCAGAAAGATTTATAGTAACAGTCTAACCCCCTGTCCTCTTCTGGAGGCTGTAGACTTATAAGGCTCAGAAGTTGTAGCATTGAACTTCTAATTCAGTTATTTTCATTACTACATTCATCTTGGTGTTTTCTGAATGTGTTTTGAATTAATGGCTAGATGACTTTCAGCTCATGAGGTGAGAGCTCTAATGGCAGACTTTATACATCACCTAAAGAAATGTCTGCACACTGCTCTTCTCCATGCCTGTGTGAGATCCCCTTACTCACATCATCAGCATGTAACATGATCTGCCTACATCAATCCCAAAATAGCACCACTGATCACAATCCAGGTAACTGAGATTTCTGAAGGATGAGTTTGTGGTTCCATTTTATCTAACGATTGTTCCCTCTGCAGTGCTTCTCATCTCACCTGTCACTGTGATCAACAGAGGAGAGACAGTCATGCCAACATCAGACACTGGAAATACAATAAATTCTTGACATGCATATGTCCCAGGCTTGGGATTTTCAAAGCTGTAAAGTAGTTCAGTGAAATGTTCTGAATGGATGACTTAATCTGCTCCAATTTTAGAGTCATATCTCCTCCTTTTGATTTTGGCAGGGTGCTTAGCATCTACATTTATATAACGTCTTGTTGGATTAGGTTTATGTATTTAACTTATGGACTGCACAAGGCACACTTGTCTGCACTTCTTTTGACTCAGACCTGAGAGTTCTCTGTGCACATCTGACGGATTCAGGGAAGATGTCTATGTCTACTGCAGCTCATATCACACACCTGAGACAGCATCACACTTTTATTCCCTCCACATAAAAAGCATCTGAAATGCAGTCATTGTTCCTGGTTACAAATGAACCTCTCCCTTTAGGAGAGTCTGGTGCCTGCCTTTCCATACTCAGGTAGCAGCATTCCCTGCATTTCTGGGCCTCTAATCCTTCTGTCCTAACATGGCAACTTCATCTCTGTATAATCCTATGCAGGTACTTTTCCTTCTGTGGATCCTTCCTACTGCCTGCCTTTGATGAGGACGTGTGTGGTGAACTTCTTAAGTCATAGAGGTGATGTCAGAAGTCTCCTGTTTCAAGACACACAATTTAATAACAGATTAAAATCATTGAAACACTCTGGAAAAGGAACCATGTGACACTACAGCTCTTATGCCTCATCTTACCACAAGAGTTCAGTGCCTCAGCTCACTCTCAGCATTGTGGATTTGGTTTCTTTTGGCAATATTACTAAAAGCTTGTGGTAAGTTCATATTCATGCTTTAGAAACATCTTGGTATCTTTATCTTCTAAACACTTAATTGAGAAAATGTTGTTTTCATAAAATGAGTAATTTTTGATGTTGCCTTCCTTAAAGAAATCAGCAGTTCACTCAAGCTACTTTCCAAGGATTGAATCATGTTCATATCACAATCACTGTGAAAATTGTTCAAAGAGAAACAAATCATTTTCTTTCTGAATCTTAAAACACCAGTGTCACAGAAAAAAGCAAATTACATTGTTCTTTAACATCACTGAACCTGTGAAGAAATCCCTGGGCCCTGTGAGCTGTGACTTTCATCATTCTCTGTCCTTCTTCCCTTTCTCCAGGATGCTCAGCATCTGATGGAATTGAGATAACTGACCATGTCTCTGCTACAGGTTATGTTTTCTGCTCCTGCTGTTTATAAAGTTTTCAGAAATAGAAAGCAGTATAAACATGAAGCTACTAATGTTGAATAAATAGAAATGTCAAATACATGAGACAGGAGATTGACAGATCAGTAAATTCAATGAAATAAACTCTCTTCCATGCAATTACAGACAGCAGAACTGCCAGCCTGCACATGGCAATGCTCTGCACTGCAGCCTTCACACAGTTCTCATCTGATGTGTTGAATGCTGAGGACCTGGGTCTTCTCATGTAGGTTCCTGTCTATAGTGAGCAGAGGTGAATTTCCCTGAGACATCCCGTGTACATCATCTCACACCAGCTCCCCCTGAGACCCATAATTTAAGTCCTCCATCAGAGTCAGCTCCTGGTGAGGGAATGCAAATCTCTCCTGACTCCACCCAATCATAGCTTGAAAAGGCAAAGCTGGGCCTGGGCACTCACTGGTGTGCAGCCATGGCCCTGTTTGCCTCCTCATTCCTACTGCTGATTGTGCCTGCATGTGAGTGCCATGGATTCCTACTCTATGAACTCCCATAAGTCACTCTGTGCCAACCTTACCTTCTACTTTTTCTCCCACAGATGTCCTGTCCCAGGTTACCCTGAAGGAGTCTGGCCCTGGGCTGCTGCAGCCTTCCCAGACTCTCAGTCTGACCTGCTCTTTCTCTGAGTTTTCACTGAGCACTTCTGGTATGGGTGTAAGCTGGATCTGCCAGCCCTCAGGGAAGGGTCTGCAGTGGCTTGCAATCATTATTGGGATGATGATAAATACTACAATCCAAACCTGAAGAGCTGGCTCACATTCTCCAAAGACACCTCCAACAACCAGGTATTCCTCAAGATTGCCAGTGTGGACACTGCAGATACTGCCACATACTACTGTGCTCAGAGAACACAGAGACACAGCCTCGGCTGACAGCTGTACAGTATCCCAGGCTGTTTCTCAGCTCTGTCACAGCGTTGGGAGAGGGCAAACATTTCCTCCTAGCCTCTGTGGTTTCCTCTTCATTCTGAGTTTCATATCCTTGGCTTCCTGTTATACAAACGAGGCACCTTTTAATAATTGTTCAGATATGCGTATCTGTCTGTTGTATTTTATGAAGATTAAGAGTTTGTGGTCCCTAATCCAGGAGGTTCCACTAAATCTTCACGGATTAATCTTTGGAGATGATAGCAATTTATTGGACTACACAGTTATCATTCACTAAGCTTATAACAAATACATCCAAGTCTTTGAAAATCTTAGGCAGCCATGACCTGCATCTAAGTAGGTGGAGGCTGAACTTAGGGAAAATATGTCTAGAGATAGAAGTGAGCCACCTGAGGACAGAGACAGCATCTTCCATTCAGAAAGGTTTATGGCAAAGAGACCACTCCATCACTCTTAAGTCTTTACATGCAAACTGTCATCTTGAGGAATACCTGGTTGTTGGAGGTGTCTTTGGAGATTGTGAGCTAGCTCTTCAGGTTTGGATTGTAGTATTTATCATCATCCCAATAATGATTGCAAGCCACTGCAGACCCTTCCCTGAGGGCTGGCAGATCCAGCTCACACCCATACATACAGCCTTGATGATACAAATGATAAATTAGAAAAGAAGACGGAATCACAGTCTACTGTTTCTGAAATTGTGGTTCTTTCTCAAGTGTGAAAACATTTTGTAGAGATGCCAAGTGATCTGTAAGTAGCAGGCTGTGATTCATCCTCTCCCTGGTGTTGTAAGGCTTTGTGTCCCAAAGGCAGCTCCAAGAGTTGACAAATGACCTGATAAACAGTGTCCAACAGTTGTGCTGCTAACTCACTTCCCCATGAGTGGCTAATGATACAGCTAGATGCAACAACACCTAAAGAAACTGTTGGGCTGCTAACTCTCTTCCCCATGAGTGGATAATGATACAACTAGATGCAACAACACCTAAAGAAACGACTGTGGTTTATGAAGATCTTCTAAACAATTCAGGTACAGCTTACCTAGATATCTCACTGGTATGGCAAAGACAGAAGTTTCCAGTGCTCTGTGCTCGTGTCTTATTGGGCCAGGATGATCTCAGTGGACTTCTCATCATCACATATATGGGTGACCCTAAGGTGGTTCAGGTGCTCCTTGAACCATTAAATGTTATTTCTGCATTACAAACCTGGATTTGATGAACTGACTCTCTGTGGGATGGAAAAGATCTGTGTGAACAATTGCCAGGATGGAGCACAAATTTCTTCAGACAGATTTGAAGCTCAGACCTCCAGACCTCGATGCCTATCACAGAAGTCCTCTTCCTCATCTGTCTCAAACAGGATCAGCTCTGATCTAATAACTACCCTCCCTCATGAATATGTAAATTGCAGCTTCTGGTTGTGAGTAAATAATGTCCCCATGCCCTACAGCAGCAGGCTATTACCCCATTGCCCCCAGTCCCAGAGCACACAGGTTTTCAGCATGGACAGGAGCTGGATCATCCTCTACCTGGTGGCAGCAGCTATAGGTAAGTGGAACCCCTGTCTTAGGCCCGAGGGGGAGAGAGACGGTGAAGTGACAGTGGCATCCACTATGTTTCTCCTTCACAGGAGTCCATTATCAGGGTCATCTGCAGCAGTCTGCCTCTGAACTGAGGGCTCCTGGAGCTGCAGTAAAGGTGACCTGCAAGGATTCTGACCCTAATGACTTCCCCATTGCCTATATGAATTGGGTGAGGCAGAAGCCTGGACACGGGCTTGAGTGGATTGGAAACATACTCCCAAGCATTGGTAGAACAAACTATGGACAGACCTTTGAGGACAGAGCCACACTGACTGCAGATACACAGTTGAACACAGCCTACATGGAGCTCAGCAGCCTGACATCTGAGGACTCTGCAGTCTATTACTGTGCAAGAGACACAGCGTTGCAACCACATCCTGAGTGTGTCAGAAACCCTGGAGGAGCAGGAAGCTGCTGTGGTCCGAGATGGCAGAGAAGATCAGCCTGGAGATGTGCTTAAAACAAACATTCTGGGTGTCCCTCATCTGTTCCTTCACACAGATCTGCCAGCTTCTCAGAACCACAACTCTACATGAAGTGATGCTGATTTAGCATGCCTTAGTGTGCACCACACCTTGATATTCTCTTCACCTGTGGCCACCTCTATTCATAGGTTTCTTTATTAAAAGACAATAAAAGTGAAAAGTGTGATTCTGCATTCTGGTAAAAATATCTCTGGACAGTCTGAGACTGGGACCTTTGTGGGCCTAGGTTTTAATAAACCAATATATGAATGAGGGGCCTAATAAATTCTTGCTGTGTAATCTAGCAGAATTTCCATTCTCTTAGAATGTGAGGTATGTATCATAATGTAACACCACATAGGTATAATTCTTATAAGTATTCAAGAGTATTATTAAGTAACTTTTCACAAAAATTGTTAATATAATCAGTGTATGCTCATGTTCGTTGAGGTAGGTTCTGGGATCACACAGTAGTCTCTGGTCCCATACTTATTTGCTTCCCAGTGTCACCCAACTGCCCCATAATCTCAGCCCTTTATAGAGCATGGACCTGTGTGATACTCCATCATCGCTCAGAGGCTATTGGATACCTGGTGGTTTCCTTTGCTCTACAGAGTGTTTGGAATTTGGCCTGGTAGAGCATTTGTAGACACCGTCAATCAGTGGTGCTGTCTATCAGTTCAGTTCATCATCAGTGATCATTGCTACAGCTGGATCCAGAAACACCAAAGCACAGACTGGGTTTCATGGATCTGGAAAACAACTGAGGCACTGACCACCATTTATTCTTGGAATATCTGATCAACAGAACCATAGACAATAAATACAGAAAGAAGAGCCACGGTTGGGGAACTGTGCATGAGCCTGTAGACAATCTTAAAATATTAGATTCTCCAAAGTAGCAGACAGCACTGTAGAGCCAACAGTGCCTTAGAAGTAAATGTCCCACAGAAAAGTCCCAGGAGTTCATCTCCTGTGTCAGTTAGAAACCTTGCCTTGAAGGATAAAAAAAAATTGACACAGATAAATAAAGTTAGTTTTCAAAATATATATCAATCTCCTAGGAAGGTACAGAAGCAGAGATGACACAATTCCAAGGACATGTCAGTCACCATGAAGACAACATAGCCCACAATAGAATTAATCAATGGAAACCTAGGACTTGACAGTCTTTTCACATGGAGAGGCAGTTTCAAGGCTCTTCATGCTAAGCCTTACCTACAAATTATAAATGTCATGCCTGTGGGAAACATTTGGAAAATATCTGTGAGATTCATTTCATGTACATCACATTGAACTCCAATGTTTCCCTGTGTAATGTGTTCAATGAACTGTGTGTGTTGGTGAGGACAGGACATTGTATTCATCCACAGTCACTTCATTGGATTCTATCTGTGCTTTTAATACTAGTGATATGTCTTTTTGAAATTTTCTGCAACTTTCCCTGCATATGTGTTTATTATATAGGTTATTGTATATGTTTGTAATCTTTTGTTGGATTCAGAAGGGGCTCTGTCTGCTCCTGGACATTTCTTTAAGGTGAAGCTTCTGAGACCAGCATCAACCTCATTGACTATGGTATGTTCACATTATTTATGCCTTCCAGTCTCACTTTGTTAGATGATTTGAACTAAGACATTGTTCCATTTCTTATAGTATATCCCAGACTTCCATAGGATAAGTTTTTGTTGTCATTACTAAAGATTTTCCCAATCACAATAGAGTCAGCTGCGATGATGTTTCTTTCATTGGTGGAACTGGTTTCCAGGATGACTGTTTCTACACATGTGTCAGAAGACTCCTTGATTGTCATCTTCTTCCTTGACTCTTGTGTGTCTCTCCATGTCTTGTTTTCCTACTTTGGAAAATTTCTGGTGGGTGTGTATTCCTAAGGCTTATAGTATCAGGAAACACAGAGCCTGTGAGACGCTAACAGAGGAGTGGGCAGATGTGTTATAGCCTAAGGGGACACAAGCACAGTTGGATGGTTTGGAAAAGCCTTGGATATTGCAGACTTGGATACATGAACCCGAAAGAGGTGGGAAGTTATCAGGTAGGAAATAGCAAAGTCTACTTATTAGTTTAGAGAATCAAGACCTTGGAGAAGACTGTTCTTTTGATACCTGGGAACAGGCAAAGCCATCGTGATGGAAATGGTTTGGAGGTCACAAGAAGAGAGTAAACTGTGGGAGAGTAAGGACCTGGACTACCTGGTGGTGCAGGGAAAGGGATGTTTCTGAAAGATCATTTGGATATTCTCTGTGAGAAAGAGCAGACCTCACTCGTGGGGAGAGAAAGGCAAGTCCCTGAGGAACTGTGGCACATAAGGATAGGCAATGGAAAGAAATAGAGCTTAATGGTGCCTGGTGGAAGTCCCAGAAGACCTGGGAGTGAAATTGGATGGAGAGGAGGTGGCCTGTATGGTGGAGAGGAGGTCAGCCCTTGTGGAGTTCAGAGGTAACTCAGGTCTTTGATCTGCTTTTATTATTGATCAAAGAATAATCTAGATAGTATTCATATTTATGCAATGTCATTCCTTATTTTTATGAATTAATATTTAAGCCTTGTGTGTGCTGTACTATACCACCGAGCTGTGGCTTCTGCTATAATTTTTACTTTAGTTTAATGTATGCATTCATGATTGACTGTTTTCTAAAAGTGGCATAATTTAGTGATTTCATGTCTTTATTTCCTATGATTGTATGAGATGATTTCTGTTAAGAGAACAGTGGAGTTTACATGGAACAACCAAACAGTAAAGCCTGCAATACTAAATTACTATTTACAACTAAACTTCACACTCTGTAACATTTCCTTTCACCTTCTTTTTCCTTTCCTTTCCTTTTTTGAAGAAGCAAAAATCAAAATGTGATTCTCCGACTAAGCAAATATTATTTATCCATGAAAGGCTGGAGGTGAAAACAGGGCTTTAGCCTTGAATAATGTTTCTACAAACTGAGGTAAGGCTCCAAGAAAGTAAGTCATAGTTGATGCTGTAAAAGCCACCTCATTTTATCTCAGGTGTCTGCAGCATTAATTCTGTCTCCCAGCACTCACATCCCTCAGCTCGCGATAGAGCAGGAAGACATGCAAATTATGTTCCCCTCTGCCCAATGAAAACCAGCCCTGACCTTACAGCTCTGACAGAGACGCTCAGCTCTGGACTCACAGATACTCCCATTCTGTGCTCATCACTGAACACTCAACACTGAGCATGGACTTGATACTGAGCTGGGTTTTCCTTGTTGCTCTTTTCAAAGGTAATTTATACATAAGGGGAGTTACTGAGTATGTGAGTGGACAAGAGTGAGAGGGACAGTGGACATTTGTGAGAGTTTACTGACAGGAGTCTCTGTGTTTGCAGGTGTCCAGTGTGAGGTGCAGCTGGTGGAGTCGGGGGAGGCTTGGGGCAGCCTGGAAAGTCCCTGAAACTCTCCTGTGCAGCCTCTGGATTCACCTTCAGTGACTACTGGATGAACTGGGTCCGCCAGGCTCCAGGGAATGGGCTGGAGTTTGTTGCACAAATTAGAGACAAAAGTAATAATTATGAAACTCAATATGTGAAGTCTGTGAAAGGCAGATTCACCATCTCAAGAGAAGATTCCCAAAGCAGTGTCTCCCTGCAAATGAACAACTTAAGATCCGAGGACACCGCCATTTATTTCTGTGCTGCAGACACAGTGAGAAGACTTCAGTGTGAACCCTGACAAAAACCTCCCTGCAGGAGCGCTCAGGACCAGCAGGGGGCGACGACAGCACATGGTGAACAGGGACAGTGCAGGAACAGGTGCAGACAGAGTTGAGTCCGGGTTCTGGGGTCTCAGCTCCATCTGATGATGTCCCATATGTTTTCTGCACTTGTGTTTTACAGATGTCTGTAATATCTGTGGAAAGTGATTTCTGTTTTTATTAACTTAAAAATCTACATATACCACACCGACTAAATTATGTAAATGCTAAAAATCACCTCTGATAACAAAAATGACTCTGTAGATGTCACCGAGGTCAAATGCTTAGGAAGTTCAGAGGTATTTGTGAGGCTGCACTCTCAATGAGTTTCAGGACAAAACTGAAGTCATTCTGATTAGGACAGAGTTTTGGATTAGGGGAGATCAGCACAGACACATGCTGTAACCTGTACACCTGGATAGGTCTCAGATATTTCTCCTCTGTCTGCTCTCTGCAGGCCAACAGCTTTGATTTAAATGGAAAGAAGCTGTCTCTCAGGGAGTATGAAGACAATTCCACTGAACTGAGGTTAGGCTTTCTCTTGGCCACTGGGGAGTCCAGAAACCATTGAGTTAATATGGAAATATATGACAGAAAGACAGAGAGACAGGCAGAGCCAAAGACAGAGAGAGAGTGAGAGACAGACAGAAAGTGAGAGAGAGAAAGAGACAGAAAGTGCTAAAGTGATAGATACACAGATAGATAGATGGATGGATAGATAGATAAAACATAGACAGACAGACAGATTGATGAACTCAAGGAGACAGAGAGCAGGGAAAATTAACAATTTACAAATGTACAGGAATAGTCCTATGATGAATGTATTTGGTTAGTTATAAACTCATATCGATGCAAGGAATATTGTGTTTGGAATAAAGAATATCATTTAAAATAGCCCTTATTTAACTGACCTTGACATTAAGGTTAGTTTAAAAGTACAAAAACCCCACAGAGGTAAAACTTAGGTTGCTGAAAACTGTGAGCATTTGCCGGGCAGTGGTGGTGCATGCCTTTATTCACTACACTCTGGAGGCCATGGCAGGCAGATCTCTGTGAGTTCAAGGCCAGTCTGTTCTACAATAGCTATGTCCAGGACAGCCTCTAAAGCAACCTCTCTCAACACCCAGCCCCCCCAAAAAACTGTGAGCATTTGAAATTAAATCATTTGACATTAATTACACACAGTCTCCACCTTGATATGTGTCTCACTGTGGTTGCCTCCTGGTGATCACATCCTATCCTGTCTGTAATCACTGTGATAGGGGAG